GTAGTTCTAAAATATTCTCCCTAGCTTTCCAGAAAAATAAAGACAAATCTAGACCTGTGGCACTAGTAGACCTAACCCATTTTGAACTGTAATCAAGTGTAATAAATGTTACTCAATCATATCTGGCCCACACCTGTCTCATGTCTCCACTGCCCCAAAAGCAAACAGAAAAGCTACAGGTGAGAGATGGACAGTCATAGCTAGGAGTTCCCTCTTGCCTTCCTGCTAGGGTGGTAGCAGGCAATGAGTTTCCTTGAGAAGGGGCCTCCTGCCTAAAAAGTCCTGCACCCAGAACACTGGACAAAGAATCTGGTCAAAAACAAAAGAAAATGATTTCTGGTAATTAAAGGAATGTAAAGAATAATTTTGAAAATAATTTAACACCTAATAGATTTAGGATATAGCCCCTAGGATGCCAGAGAAAGGAAGTGACACTGAAAGAAAAGTCTGGTCTACAAATAAATTCTGAACTGGCCCACATTCAGCCCTATGAAGACATAAACTTTTCTTTTTCTTGAACTCAATATATAATACCCAATTCAAATAGAAAAATAATAATACTTTAAACAATAAAATAAACTGGAAACCAACCAAACAAACAAAAAACTCAAGAGTTACTCCCAAAAAATAGGAAAGGGTTCTAAGAAAAGGAAGATGAGATTTAATTTTTTATGGTAGTTGGTTTCACTCATAGAAGTTAAAGAAGTGAGAAAATAATTAAGCATCTCCATTAGACCCTGATGCCTAAAAGGTCCTCCTTTGACCATCAAAGCTTTACCAGCATAACAATATATTTCTTTACCCAAGAGTTAATATTATTTATATATTCACATTATAAAATACTATTTATTAATTCAATTTTTAAGTTAACCTGTAGACAAAGTATAAAAGTTTTTATAGAATTATAAATTTTATAAATCTTGACAATGAATATAAGAAGCATTCAACTATTCTAATTTCTTATTTTTCATAGCAAGTAATCAATGGGTATTGCCTAAGGTAAGTCAATATAATATAAAAAGATATGAATAAAAATATAAATATTAAAATGATAAGATCATGTGATACTAAGTATTATGTATATATTATATATGCATAACTATGAAGTACATAGGCATATAATGTGTAATGATATATAATTATTATATATTTCAATAACATATGTAGTATATTATTTGGTAACATATTTTAATAATATACCTTTTATAATATTATATACCATATATATGTATGCTATATATTTCATACTATATATAAATATATAATATATATATTAAAAGTAGTATGTAAGAATATATTTTAATAATAATGTGAATGTTGTTAAAATAATAAAGATATAAGAATATATACATGACAAAGAGAGAGAGTAGACTAAATATATCATAGATAATATTAACCAATATTGCCTAAAGTTTATAAATCAAAACAGGGGGAAGAGCATATTTACTTTAAATAATAAGTTTAGCTACAAGAAGAGTTTAAACAGACATTATAGTCTTCAATAGGACTCCCTGAAGAAGATAAGGAAGAATTACTATCAATTTTTGCTTTTTATACTTATAATTAAAATAATTTTGCCATGTAAATGCATAAATTTTGTAACAAAAATTATAACAGTATCAGAAATAAAAATATGTGCTGCAAAATCCCATTTTTGCAAAAATATAGAGAGAGGGAGCCACAGTAACAGATAAAGACACAATGTAGAAGATACGTATTAATCAAAATGTTAATAGTGGTTATCACTTCCTGAGAGGGGAGATGCCATAGATGTACATAAATTTCCTTATATGTTCCTATTTAACTTTTAAAAAGGGACAGAACATAAATTATTTTGTAATTAAAAAAGTTTTTAGTACTTAAATTTGTTTTTTAAAAAAATAAATAAGATGGGAAAATTGCACAACCAATTAATTTACCTTTCAATGATGCATGTATTTGTATCAATAATTTATTTCTAATATATATAAAATATTTAAAAATATAAATTTTTAAAACAGACATAAAAGTTTCTTTTAAATACTCTTTTGGAGGTATGAAACATTTTAGCTACCCTACAATCCAGCAATTGCACTACTAGGCCTATACCCCAAAGATACAAATGTAGTGACCTGAAGGGGCATCTGCACCCCAGTGTTTATAGCAGCAATGTCCATAATAGCCAAACTATGGAAAGAGCCCAGATGTCCATCGACAGATGAATGGATAAAGAAGATATGGTATGTATATACAAAGGAATACAACTCAGCCATCAAAAAGAATGAAATCTTGCCATTTGGAATGGCATAGATGGAACTAAAGGGTATTATGCTAAGTGAAATAAGTCAATCAGAGAAAGACAATTATCATATGATCTCACTCATATGTGGAATTTAAGAAACAAAACACAGGATCATAGGGGAAGAGAGGGAAAAATTAAACAAGATGAAACCAGAGAGGGAGACAAACCATAAGAGACTCTTAATCATAGGAAACAAAATGAGGGTGCTGGATGGGAGTGGGGTGGGAGGATGCGGTAAGTGGGTGATGGACATTAAGGCGGGCACGTGATGTAATGAGCACTGGGTGTTATACAGGACCAACGAATCACTGACCTCTACCTCTGAAACTAATAATACACTATATGTTAATTAACTGAATTTAAATAAAAAAAATAAAATCAGGAAGGTGACCAAAAAAAGGAGAAAAAAAAAGAAATAGTTAACTAACTGGATAAGGCAATGAGAAAGAGAAACGAGTATTCTAGGCAATAGGGACACCACAGGCAAAGATTGTGAAGGAAAAAAAGAATTGATAAAGTACCAAGACCCCAGGAACAAAAAGAAAAATCAGGTTGTCTCGATCTTCTTTCTCTGTATGGTATGTCTCCAGACATATGTAATGTGAACTTGGCCAGTCTTATATCAACACAGGGAATATGAGAGGGCCTTGCATACTGACTGAATATAAGCATTTGAGAAAAATATGCTTCCTTATCCCTATTTCCACTGTTTCTTCCCTAAAGTCTTAATTACCTTTTTTCCTAGATCATGATAAACATCTTCATAAGGATATGAGACTGCCCCTAGTTTTGCCCAGTCCCATCTGTCCAACATAGAGGTGCTACCTTGTTCCTCCCAAAGTATGCCTTAGATCAATCGTATCACTCTGCTGTTAAAGACTCTTCCGTGGTTCCTGATTGCCCACAGAAGAAAAGACATTCTCTGATCTAAACCCTACTTACAGAACTGTATTTTCCTCTGCTCCTTTCCAAGTAATCAAATGACATAAGTGAACATGCTTTATAAACTATGAAGGCTTATTTCAGAGGTGCAGATGGAATTTATACATATTAATGGCCTGTATAAACCAGGTGCCTCTCCATGAGGCCCTGCATAGTTAATGGTAGGAAACTAGTAACAGAATTATTTTTCATTCAAAACCAGAAAACTCAGAGAGATTTGGCAAAATATCCAAAGTTACATAGCTAACAAGCCAAAGAGCTGGAATTCACTCACATTAAGATACACACTGTGATATCTCAAAGTGGAAGCTGTTTCTGCAAGTGCTGGCCTTGAGAGAAAGCCTAATGTGGGAAAGAGCGCACTGGACTTGGCAGTTGAGAGGGTTTGGGTCTGCTGTGTGAACTTGGGCAATGCACTTGTTCTCAAAGCTTCTTTGTGACATAGGGATAGAATATCTCACATGGTTGTAGTGAAGACTAAATGGTATGACACAAAATGTCACACATAACAATGTATTTAGTATTTGTATTTGTATTATGCTTTTTTAAGAGCAGTCATTAACTTCCTAGTTATGAACTATAAAGTAATGAAAATAATTTTCAATAAATCTGCAATGTTATCACCCAACTTGTGAAGAGGATTTTATGGTTTTCAAAGTTTATATACGTATGTCGTCATCCTGTTTTATTTTCAAATAAATATGAAAAAAATCAGTCTTATGAAAAAAATCGTTTATATTTTACTTTGGTTGGTACTTTGGTTGTGTTTAAGGAAAGTTTCATTTAGCTGAAGGAATACATCTTCATGAAGTTCAACTTCATTGGCTGTTCTCAATACAAGTTAATAGTCCTATTTGGTGGACATATGATGGAACTATCTCCTCAGAATGTAATGTGCTAAATCATACATGTAAAAATGAGGTGACCAGTATCAGGTAGACCCTCACTAAATGCAAAGGAGAACTTAAGACTTGAATATGTCATGAGCTTTAATATATGATACATTTTGAACTAAAAACAAAAGCCTGTTGTTACTTCTATGATTTTCTTTTGAACAATATAAAGGGTTTAGGTTTTCTCTTTAATGCTGTTTGTTCCTAAGTATTTCACTGTCCTCAGACAGGTCCCATGAAACCAACTGCAAATTGACCATTCCAAATCAATATACAGAAGTGTATTAAAATGTAATAAAAATAACCTGCTTTTACACACACACAAAAATGAATAGGGTGGGAAAATTGCTCAACCAATTACTTTTTCATTCAATGATGCATCTAATTGTACCAATAACTTATATGTATTTATAAATATTATAAATTTTTAAAATAGACAAAAGTTTCTTTTTTATCCTCTTTTGGAGGCGTGAAACATTTTAAAGAATTTTTATCATACTTTTTGCTTAATCACTGTTTTAATTTTGAAGCTATTTTATTGGTAAGATTATTTCTCCAATTTTATGTCTACAAGTGAAAATCTATTTGGGTTATAAAAATTTTGTTACAGATAATTTTTCATGATGCACTATTCTATTTATTAAGGAATGCATGTGTATTTATGATAATTTATGATATTTTTATTCTACTTCCACTTCTAAAATAATTGCAACAGATGTTTGTTCTACAAAATACTCTTCCTTCTATACACTTCAAATTTTTAACAGTAGAAAGTGTAATCCCTAATGCAAATATAAATGTAAATTCTATAAAATTTGTTATAACACTGAATGATTTTTAAATGTATAAATTTTTTTAAATAATAAGATGAAATAATTACATACCAAAGCAATTCCAGCAGAATAATGGTTAACACACATCTTTCCAGGAATTGTGGCTCCCACATAATCTGGATGATCTCTATAGCTAAATAAATAAGTATATATTTATAATTAATTTTAACAAACATTTCAAAGATGAGAATTCCTGCTAATAATTTGTCTATGGTCCATAAAATCCTAGACTGAAGCAAATTGAGGTACAATCTCTCCATACATCCTTATTGTTTCAAATTAGGAAGACATTTTTAATTAAATGAGATTAAGCATGCTTTCTTTTTTTTTTAAGATTTTATTTATTTATTTGTCAGAGAGAGAGGAAGACAGAGAGACAGAGCACCAGCAGGGGGGGGAGCGGCAGGCAGAGAGAGAAGCAGCCTCCCTGCTGAGCAAGGGACTCAATCCCCAGGACCCTGGGATCATGACCTGAGCCAAAGGCAGATGCTTAACTGACTGAGCCACCCAGGCATCCCAAAGCATACTACATATCTAAAGTATATCCAAAGGACCCAAGTTTTTTATGGCATTACAGTTATCATATTTAGTTAGGATTACTAAAGACTTTGATCAAAAACATTTTGATGAAAAGCATTTTGTTGAGTGACAGCGAAAAACAGTTTTAATATATGGATTAAAAATTTTCATTCTCATGTAGAAAAGCTTACCAATTTCTCATAGAAATGACTTCATTGTTCTATAACTTAACCTTATTTCTTCATTGAGTAAGGACTCATATAAATTATCATATAATAATAGCACTATTCCCAGAGATTTTTCATAAAAATTATTCCATTTAATTCTCAAATCAAGCCAATGAAATAGATATTATTATCCCCATTGAACAAATCATACATCATCAGATGGAAAGTATAAGTAACTTTCTCAAGGTAACACAATTAATAAGTGCTAGTGAAGTTAGGCAATCTGAATCCAGAGCCATACTCTCAACCATAAGTTATAGACACTCCAAGCATGTTCTACCATGTTTAGAGCCCCAATCAAAACAAACATTCCAAAATGTATATAAAGAAATTGTTTCAATTATCAATTGAAACATCTCCTCAGTTTCAACTACTTCACTTCACATTGCACTGTCTCCCTACTGCTGCCTTTATTCTGTCTCTCTGATACTTTTTATACCTAACCCTTCCAGTACTTGTTAACAAGTATTCACTCTTAACATGAAACTATGGCTTTCTTCCCCCAATTTTTTTTTTTATGTTATGTTAGTCACCATAAAACACATCATTAGTTTTTGATGTAGTGGTCCACGATCCATTGTTTTCGTATAACACCCCATGCTCCATGCAATACATGCACTCCTTAATACCCATCACTGGGCTAACCCATCCCCCCACCCCCTCCCCTCTAGAACCCTCAGTTTGTTTCTCAGAGTCCATAGTTTCTCATGGTTCATCTCTCCCTCCAATTTCCCTCCCTTCATTTTTCCCTTCCTTCTCCTAATGTCCTCCATGCTATTCCTTATGTTCCACAAATAAGTGAAACCATATGATAATTGACTTTCTCTGCTTGACTTCTTTCACTTAGCATAATCTCCTCCAGTCCCATCCATGTTGATGTAAAAGTTGGGTATTCATCCTTTCCGATGGCTGAATAATAGTCCATCGTATAAATGGACCCCATCTTCTTTATCCATTCATCTGTTGAAGGGCATCTCGGCTCTGTCCACAGTTTGGCTACTGCAGACATTACTGTTATGAACATTGGTGTGCATATGGCCCTTCTTTTCACTACATCTGTGTCTTTGGGGTAAATACCCAGGAGTGCAATTGCTGGATCATAGGGTAGCTCTATTTTTAAATTTTTGAGGAAACTCCACACTGTTTTCCAAAGTGGCTGTACCAACTTGCATTCCCATGAACAGTGTAAGAGGGTTCCCCTTTCTCCACAACCTCTCCAACATTTGTTGTTTCTTTCCCTGTCCATTTTTGCCTTTCTAACTGGTGTAATCTCAGTGTGGTTTTGATTTGAATTTCCCTGATGGCTAATGATGATGCAAGGGTGGTTCAACATTCAACATTCCAAATCAATCAATGTGATAGAACACATTAATAAGAGGAGGGAGAACCACATGGTCCTCTCAATTGATGCAGAAAAAGCATTTAACAAAATACAACATCCTTTCCTGATTAAAACTCTTCACAGTACAGGGATAGAGGGAACATTCCTCAAGTTCATAAAATCCATCTATGAAAAACCCACAGCGAATATCATCCTCAATGGGAAAAAGCTGACAGCCTTTCCCTTAAGATCAGGAACACATCAAGGATGCCCACTCTTGCCACTATTGTTCAACATAGTACTAGAAGTCCTAGCAACAGCAATCAGACACCAAAAAGAAATAAAAGGTATTCAAATTGGCAAAGAAGAAGTCAAACTCTCTCTTTTTGGAGATGACATGATACTTTATGTGGAAAACCCAAAAGACTCCACCCCCAAATTACTAGAACTCATAGAGCAATGTGGCAGGATACAAAATCAATGCACAGAAATCAGTTGCTTTCTTATACATTAACAATGCAACTGTAGAAAGAGAAATTAGAGAAACGATTCCATTTACAATAGCACCAAAAACCATAAGATACCTCGGAATAAATCTAACCAAAGAGGTAAAGGATCTATACTCTAGGAACTACAGAACACTCATGAAAGAAATTGAAGAAGACACAAAAAGATGGAAAAATATTACATGCTCATGGATTGGAAGAATAAACATTGTTAAAATGTCTATGCTACCCAGAGCAATCTATACCTTCAGGGCCATCCTGATCAAAATTCCAATGACATTTTTCAAAGTGCTGGAACAAACAATCCTAAAATTTGTATGGAATCAGAGAAGACCGAATTGCCAAGGAAATGTTGAAAAAGAAAAACAAAGCTGGGGGCATTACGTTGCCCGATTTCAAACTATATTACAAAGCTGTAATCACTAAGACAGCATGGTACTGACAAAAACGGACATATAGACCAATGGAACAGAATAGAGAGCCCAGATATGGACCCTCAACTCTATGGTCAAATAATCTTTGACAAAGCAGGAAAAAACATGCAATGGAAAAAAGACAGTCTCTTCAATAAATGGTGCTGGAAAATTGGACAGCCACATGCAGAAGAATGAAACTCGACCATTCTCTAACACCATACACAAAGATAAACTCAAAATGGATGAAAGACCTCAATGTGAGATAGGAATCCATCAAAATCCTAGAGGAGAACATAGGCAGTAACCTCTTTGACATCGGCCACAGCAACTTCTTTCAAGATACATCTCCAAAAGCTAGTGAAACAAAAGCAAAAATGAACTTTTGGGACTTCATCAAGATAAAAAGCTTCTGCACAGCAAAAGAAACAGTCAGTGAAACAAAGAGGCAACCCACAGAATGGGAGAAGATATTTGCAAATGACACTACCGATAAAGGGCTGGTATCCAAGATCTATAAAGAACTTCTCAAACTCAAAACCCAAAAAACAAATAATCAAGTCAAAAAGTGGGCAGAAGATATGAAAAGACACTTCTCTGAAGAAGACATACAAATGGCTAACAGACACGTGAAAAAATGTTCATCATCATTAGCCATCAGGGAAATTCTTCGCCCAATGTTTTAAGTACTGTTTACACTCATTCTTAATCCAAGATAGTGCTACCAATAGATTGTGAAAATGCAAGGATGTTTGCTCTCACCACTGGTATTCAGCATCATACTAGAGGTCCTAGCCTGTTAAATAAGGCAAAAAATAAAAAATAAAATAAAATAAAATAAAATAAAAGGTATATGGATTGGAAAGGAAGGAATACAGTTTTCTCTGTTTATGGATAATGTGACTGTCTACCTAGGAAATCTCACAGTATATAAAAAAGCTATTGGCACTAAGTGTGTTCAGCAGGTTTGTATGTTTCAAAGTCGATGTACAAAAGTCAATCTGATTCTTATATACTAGCAATAAAATATTTGAAACTAAAGTAAAATGAAACATTTACAATAGTGTTAATGTTATTTAAGGGTACAAACATGCAATGAGTAGTCAATAAGACCTAGAGATCTAATACAAGTATAGTAGATATAGATAACAATGCTGTATTATAATCTTTAAATCTGCTAAGATCCTAGAACTTTATTATTCCAAGCACTAAAAATAAATGATAATTACATGACATGATAGATGTGCTTATTACCACTACAATGGCAATCACATAATATATAAATGTATTTATTAACATGTTGTATACCTTAAATTTACAATGTTATGTAACATTCAAATACATTTGAATAAAAAATTTAAAGATAAATAAGTAAATTAAATTTTTTTCCATTTTGTGTTCAAAAGAGAAGAAAAAATAGCACTAAAGACATGATATTATACTAGGATATAAAGCTAACATAAATGTGAGAAAGATCTGCATCCTGATAGGACACTGATATATCTGTATACTGATAGAACTCTATACTACAGAACACTGATGAAAGAAATTTGAAAAGATCTAAGTAAATGGAAGAAAATACCAAGTTCGTTGACTGGAAGACTTAGCATTATTGAGCTGCCAGTTCTCCCCACACTACTGTATAGATTCAATGCAGTTCCAATCAACATTCCAGCAAGATATTTTATAGCAACTGAGATGTTGAATCTAACACTTATGTAGAAAGGCAAAAACTTAGGATAACCAAAACAATTTTCAAAAAGAACATATTTGGAGAACTTATACTACTTGATTTAAATAGTTTTTATAAAACTATAGTAATCAAGGCAATGTGTTATTCACAAAAGAACAGACCAAAAATAGACTCTTACATATAAAGTCAAATTATTTGTTACAAAAGTGCAAAAGCAATCAAATGGAGAAACTATAGTGTTTTCAAGAATTAATGCTGAAAAATTATTTATTCATATGCAAAAAATTGTCTCCTCTGTACCACATAGCATATACAATAATTAACTCTAAATAAGAAAAACTTAAAACTATAAGGCTTCTAGAAAAAAATATAGTAGAGAAATCTAAATTTGGGTGAGGCAAAGATATTTTTTGGTACAACATCAAAAACATGATTCATAAAATAAAAAACTGAT